AAGAAATGATAAAATAAAGATCTCAGTCTAGAATACCCAGAAGACTTTACCATGTAGTTACCCACTCCCCGAAATCCCCACAACAACAAAACCACACACTTCAACACCCAAGTAGCAAAAATTTCAAGATTAAGGAAAGTGATTGCATGCGGACTGCAGGTGATGTTACAACTTTGCGTCATGTAGAATTCTCTCCACTCTGCCCCTTCCACCCCTCCCCTCTTCTCCCTCCTCCCTACTCCTCCTTCACCAACAATATATTTTCCTGTCAAAACATACTTGGTTACATGCAGTGCAACCGAAATTGCTGCTATTAGCTTAATTGAGACAGGGTGATTATAAATAAATTACATGCAGTGCTACTGAAATTGCTGCTATTAGTCTAAATTGAGACAGGATGATTAGTCATCATCAAGTGAAGCTTAATTCAGAGTGTACTTAATTCAGAGTGTACTCCACACGGCTGCAGAGGCCCTGTGGTCATCTGGCAGCCCAAATGATACAAGGCCAAACCACCAAGAGATGGACTTTGAGGCCCCAGCTCTCTTTCACTGATAACTGAAGGACAGATGTCCTTGCAGCCTGGCCAGTGGGGCCTTCTTGAAGACTGATAATGAACTTATTAGGTACTTTGGGCTGGAAAGGACTGCAATTAGAAACTTTCCCTATGGAAGATCCATATGATATACTGTATATGTGTGTGTGTTGGTATAACTCAATGTGTGAATCTTCTGTTACTTCTTCATAATGGTTTGAGATAGATTTGTAATACTATTTCACTTTTTTACTAATTACAAAAGAAATCCACACTTATAGTACAAAACTTCAAAAGCATAAATAGTATAGAAAAATAACACAGTTACTGTTTCTCATTTTCATAACATTTGTTAGACTCTGGTATACTTTTTCCATTATTTCATCTGTATATTCCCTCTGACAGAGTTGATACCTGCTGGATATACAATTTTACAGGAAACTTTTTTTCACTGATGGAAATATCTTTGAACTATCTAGACAAAGTATATTGACTGATGAATTGCTGAACTCTACATCTGAAACTAATGATGTACTATATGTTGACTAATTGAATTTAAATTTTAAAAAAAGATCACAGGTAAAGAACCAAATAGGGAAGAGAAATTGTCATGGGCATCTCATTCCCAGAGGCAGCATAATGGAGTGGAAATCCACTGGCTAAAGGAAATCTTCCCTCGTCATCCTGGTTTCCTGCTCAACCTCAAACCTCAGCCCGCTACGTGGGTACAAACAGAAAACCCCAGCGGAGGTGCTGGTTCTGCAAATGGCTCTATGGGCTTCATTTTCCTCATATCTAGATTAAAACATAGAAATAGGTATTTTCCAAGATGACTTACAGGTGCAAAAGTCTACACTGTATACTTAGGGGCTGGAGGGAGCCATTTATTACTGACTATTAAATAAGAGGTAGGTGAGGATAACTTATCAAACCTTAATGACTGGCAAGAATTAGGTTTATATTTTGAGTCTTAAGTATGGAGATGTGTTCTTCATTTAGTCTGGCAGGTAGGTTCCTAAAGGGGTGCATTCAGTACTACTTGGAAATTAAATCATGGTGCCCGGTTTCCTGACTGTATCATCCCAAGCAACTTATCTTCATCCAGTAGAAGTGCACCAAGGGTAGTTTTAAGTTTTTAGATTCCTAAGCCTTCCTACCTGTAATGAATGATTCCAAACTATTTAGTACTCTAAGGAAAACCGAAGAGCTATGCTTCGTAGTGACTGTGTCATGGAATCTTTTCTAAACTGAATAATCACTTAATATACTTGAGATTTAGGTTTGGAATAAAAATTTATGGCAATTTTAATTTTCCAATATGAAACATTTAAATTTCTCTATTTCTCAAAATTTATTTGTTTGTTATCTTAATAAACAAACTAAAAAATTCTTTCTTCCTTCCCTCTGTTCATCCCTCTCTCCAACCCGCCTCTTTCCTTCTTTCTGTCTTTCAACCAGTGTTTGTAGTTCTTTCTATATGCCAGACTCTATGCTACAGATTCTCAGATTATATATATATATATACATACATACATATATATATATATGTCTCCCTGATTCTTTGGAATTGCTGGCAGGCTTTGATTGATTGATTTTTTTAAAGATTTTATTTATTTATTTGTCAGAGAGAGACCACAAGCAAGGGGATGGGCAGAGGGAGAAGCAGGCTCCTCGCTGAGCAAGCTAAAGGGGTAGATGTTATCACTTATTGGGAAATGCTTGGAAGGAACAAAGCAAGTCCTGCAGGGATGATGCTAGTCTCATGTCTTTCTAAAATTCAGATTACAGTCATTTTCATTTTGTAAAATACCCCCTTTCCAGATTTATTAAGATATAATTGTCATATCACACTGTATAAGTTTAAAGTGTATAACATGATGATTTGATACACATATATATTGCAAAATTATTATAACAAAGTTAGTTAATGTCTTTATTACTTCACATGTTTACCATTTGTGTGTGTGTGTGTGTGTGTGTGTGATGAGAATACATAAGATCTATTCTCTTAGCAACTTTCAAGTGTATAATACAGTATTATTAATTATAGTCACTATGCTTACATTAGATTCCCAGAAGTTATTCATCTTACAGCTGCAAGTCTGTACCCTTTGATCAACATCTGCTTTGGCTATTGTGAGTAATGCTGCAGTGAACATGAGAGGGCAAATGTCTCTTCAATATCTTGTTTTCATTTCCCTTAGATACATACCCAGAAGTGAGATGGCTGGCTCTTATGGTAGTTTTGTTTTTGATTTTTTAAGGAACCTCCATATTGTTTTCCATAGTGGCTACACCAATTTACAGTCCCATCAACAGTACGTGAGGGTTCGCTTTCTTCCATATCCTTGTCAAAACTTGTTATCTCCTGCCTTTTTGATGATAGCCATTCTGACAGGTGTGAGGTGATATCTCATTGTGGTTTTGATTTGCATTTCCCTGAAGATGAGTGTTGAGCATCTTTTCAGGTACTTACCAGCTATGTGTATTTTGTCTTTGGAAAATACCTATTCAGTTCCTCTGCTCATTTTTTAATTGGAATTTTTTTGGTTGAGTTGTATGAGTTACTGATATATTTCAGGTACTAACCCCTTATTAGATATATAGTTTGCAGTATTTTCTCCCATTCCATTGGTTGCCTTTTGATTTTGTTGGTTGTTTCTTTTGCTGTGCCAAAGCATTTAGTTTAATATAGTCCTGCTTGTTTACTTTTGCTTTTGTTGCTTGTACTTTTGGTGTCATATCCAAAAAAACCATTGCTAAAACCAATGTGAGGAAGCAATCCTGAGAAAGAAGAGCAAAGGTAGAGGTATCACACTTCCTGAGTTCAAATTATATTACAAAACTGTAGAAATCAAAATAGTGTGGTACTGGCTAAAAACATACAGAGCAATCAATAGAACAGAATTGAGAGCCCAGAAATAAACCCATGCATAGGCAGTCAACTAATATTTGACAAGGGAGCCAAGAACACTCGATGGGGAAAGGATGATGAACTCTTCAATAAATGGAGTTGGGAAAACTGGATGTTCACATGCAAAAAGAATGAAATTAGATGCCTATCTTTTTTTTAAGATTTTATTTATTTATTTTGACAGAGAAAGACACAGTGAGAGAGGGAACACAAGCAGGGGGAATGGGAGAGAGAGAAGCAGAACAGGCTTCCGCCGAGCAGGAAGCCTGACGCGGGGCTCGATCCCAGGACCCTGGGATCATGACCTGAGCTGAAGGCAGACACTTAACAACTGAGCCACCCAGGTGCTCCTTAGATGCCTATCTTATACCACTCACAAAAATTAACTTGAAATGGATTAAAGACTTAAATGCAAGACCTTAAACCATAGACCTCCTAGAAGAAAGTGCAGGGAAAAGGCCCTTTTAATTAATTGGGCTTACCTCTGACTGAGGGTTATGTTGCACTAACACTGAAAGACACTCTTGCTTCTTTTCACTGTTTAGAAATATGCTACTTACGAATTGTTGGGGAAAGGCTGCCTGCAGGTGAGCCTCAGAGGAGAAATGATTACCTTTATTTTTATATATTGAGACTGATTTCTCAGTTGAGCCCCTGCCATGGTATAAAGGTTGACAATTACTGAAGTGTAGTGAAAAGAACATGAAACTGGGTGATTCAAACCCTGACCTCATCTTTGCTTGACTACTTTTTCCCTGAGCCATTGTTTATTCTAGAAGGACGGGGATAATCATACTGATCTACCTTACAAGTTTTTTGTGAGAGTTACAGATAAAAGAAGTCCCTAGCCCATACAGACAGGCATATAGTAAGCACTCAAGGAATAGTATTTTTAAAAAATTGCAATAGCAGCAAGCATGTACCTGTTTGTTTATTAAGAAGTCAGGAAGGGGTGCCTGGGTGGCTCAGGTGGTTAAGCATCTACCTTCAGCTCAGGTCATGATCTCCAGGTCCTGGGATGGAGCCCTGACTCAGGGCTCCCGGCTCAGCAGGGAGTCTACTTCTGCCTCTCCCTCTACCTTTCCCCCTGCTCGTGCTATCTCTTTCTCTCTTTCTCAAATAAATAAATAAATAAATAAATCTTAAAATAAAAGTTCAGGAAGCAGTTCTAGACACATACCATTTTTAGGTATTTAGTGGATATTATATATTTTTGTCATAGACATCTATCCTAACAGCCTAATTTAGCAAGTTTGCAAGTTAGAAATGCTGTAGATGAGTTTTTTTTTTTTAAACCTGTACACCGTTTGCACTTTGGAATTCCATAGCAGAGAGGCCCACACTGAATTGAAGGTGTTGCTAATAATGTGCCATTCATAATACCTGGTGGGAAAGCTTACCCTTAGTTTCACTGAAACCTTATTTTCAGGGTATAATCTGAGGAAGGAGAGCTGGACTGTCAGAGCTCACGAGCCCCCATTTGAATTGTGCCTAGCTATGCCAGACCTCTCTGCTCAAGCCTTGAAAAATCAAGTGTCTCCTTTCTCCTAGGGTTTTAAAGATCCTGTGTATCGAGCCAGACGAAAGCAGTTTGCTGACATTGCCTACAACTACCGACAGTAAGTCTGCTTTGCTTGTTTGGAGGAAGAAAGAAGAGCACACTCCTAGCTTAACTTTTCCTCGCCCAAGTTTGGAAAATACTAGCATAGAGAGTCCTGTCGTGTGTGTGTGTGTGTGTGTGTGTGTGTGTGTGTGTGTGTGTGTGTGT